TATTATTATTATTATTATTATATATATATATATATATATATATTATTATTATATATATATATATATATATATATATATATATATATATATATATATATATATATATATATATATATATATATATATATATATATATATATATATATATATATATATATATATATATATATATATATATATATATATATATGTGTGTGTGTTGGGAAATTGATAATTTTGTCATTAAAAGTAATATTTTTAGGCGATGTTTCATTTGTAAGAATATTCTTAAAAAAATTATCGTGTTACCATGACAACCTCTGCATCACAACTACTTTAGATACTTCATGTTCGGAAAATAGAATTGTTTTGTCAGCAAGGCGAGGGTTTCTGCGTGCATGTATTTTCTAGTATCTTCACTAATTTCACGACAACTTTTTTTTATTGTTCAACGACACGGATCGATGACGACAAACGATTATGTTTATCAAATGGACCAATTTTTATTAACCAGTCCTCCTTTTAACAAAAGACCGGTTTTGCTCGAATCATTTTGAGTTATGTAATATTATGCGTGTTGGACGTAAACAACATATTTTCTTGTCTGCAACTTTGAGAAGCTTCAGATAAAGATTTCTAAAATCCTCAGTTCTGGTTCTATCTCTATAAAATCAAAAGGACGTTGATGCTAAGTCTTATGGCTATGCCTCTGGGCTGAGAAATACCTCTTTTAACGCGATCAAGGTATCTAAAACAGATGTAACGCGAAGCCAACGGATTATTGATAGCCCGTCCCAAATTTATCACGATCAATGACACGACGAACAGCAACACCTATCTATTAAAGAACACTCCTCCGACAAAAACTCAGAAGTTCACAAACATGTTATGTCATGTGAATACTTCCAATATTACCAGACCCTACTGAACCTACCCAACACACTACTTGCTCAATTTGATCCACATACCACAGAAGCCATCATATACCAAAACTGTGTTATTTTAGATAAATCTATACATTGGTCATTATTGTTATATAAGGAGTCCTTACTTATACATCGCCAAAAACCGGAACTTAATCACGGAACTAGAGCCTCTAAGCTAGATCTTGTGATATTTAATTAGCGCGTAATTTGATCCGCTTAACTTGTAAATATATATCTCAGTATTTTTCAATAGCGTCATTCCTGATGATGACTGAAACCTAGTCGAAACGTTGAATAAAATATTAACTATTTTCGGAGTGTCTATTGTTTTGTTCTTTTTAAAATTACTCAATGGCAACCATAATTAATAGAAATTGGTCCTTTTGATTGACATAATGGTTTGTCGTCATCGATCCGTGTCGTTGAACAATGAATAAATTTGTCATAAAATTAGTTAAGATAAAATTGCAGGTCCACGGAGCGGGAACTTTTCGGATTTGAACTCAGCGTGTTCGAAAGTGTAGTTCCCGTAAAAATATTTCAGTTCCAAGACATGGGAAATGAGAATCGTTTTTAAGCACTTTTCGATGTCACAGCAAACGGCCTATTTTTTAATTTTCATTTTGTCCAGTAATTATTTACAAGTAGTTAAAAAATAAAAATAGTTACAAGATATTAATGGGATAAGGACCTTTAGGAAATCCTGTTAGACTTTTATAGTAAGGCCCCGAGTATTTAGAGAAAAAAGTAAAAACATCATTAAAAGAAGAAATCATTTACAAGCAGAAACTATTTGCAAGCGGATTGAAAGGTGAAAAAGTATTAAGAATAGTACAGTACTGTAATTAGTATTCCTAAGATCTTATTTACATCAAATAATACGTGATGGAATTTAGTTCGCTTTTTTCTTAAAATAAAAATATATTTTAGAATTTTATATAAATATTCTTCGATATTTTTGCAGCGTATGCTACCGAAGTTAAGGCGGTGCAATTGTTCACTGTACGTGAACATTCAAATTATTAATTGCCTCAACAAACCTCATATATGTCATATAAGCAGATCAAGTTAGCGTGGCATGTGAAGTTCTTCTATTTAAAATTAACTAACGCTAAATATGGTCCCAAAGGGGTAAATAATGGGAACAGAGACTGGCCTATTTTTGAATTGGGAAATGGGATTTGGGTTATTAGAACTGAGAAAAGGAAAATGGGAATAGGAAACCATATACCATTATAAAGACAGTTGCATGTCGCTTGGTATATTTCAGGGCTACATACAACTGAGCAATTTTTGATTCAGAATGATGGACAATTTTTGTTGTCCATTGTTTTAATTAGGCACAAAGGTGAAAATATGCGATTTTGACTAACATCTTTAATCGGCCTCGTACATGCTTATTTTTTCTCCACTTGGCATGAAAAGCATGTCATTCAATAGCTAAAAGCCTGATCTTTCCGAATATGTAAACCAATTGTTCATACGCCGAGTAATTCACGTATAATAGCGCGTTGAAGTTCGATTACCTTTTTTTATACACCCTGTATAATTAATCTTCACTCACCAGATTCACAACAGGTTCCTGTCCAACCTGGCAGGCAGCGGCATCGACCAGGGATCGGAGTTCCTCCATGTTTACATGCGTATCTGTTACATGGTGTATTACGCTGGAACGAATATGGACATGATCCTCCACATTTTTCACGTTGTGTTTTGCTTCTCGATTGTGTCCGTTCTCCCGTAGAGCCGCATCTATGACTACAACTACTCCACCATGACCACGAGCTTACTTTGCACCCCCGAGCTTTACAGCCTCCTCCACCTCCCCCATCACTTCTACGTCTTGGACAACTGCTGACGTCTTGAACAACTTGCAGGAATGATAAGACTACAATGTAAGCCAACACGATAATCACTGCCTTCATAATCTTCTGTTTAGCATAAATTATGACTTCGTGATATTTGATCTTTTTCCGTTTATCGATCTGCAGTTAAGCAAAGCGAGTTAGAAAATATATTCTTAATGAACAGCATTTCATCATTTTTACCACAAAATTACTCAACGAAAACACATGAGTGATCACAACAATGTTCATTTACTTGAATACTTTCGCCCTTAATGTTTTTGCGCACAATTTTCAAAATAACTGAGTGTAGGGAAAACGTTGATTGTTACATACTTTTATCAGTTACGATGCATGCGAGATGTAATATTTTCTGCATTATAAATAGAATAGTATATAATTCGGCTATATACTTTTTGATGTGGTGTAAACGGTAAAAATGCCAGATCTGTTATTTACTTGCGAATTAAATTGAAATGTATTTAGCTGCAAAATAAAATTGCAAATGCACATTCCTTCTACCACCACACTAATATTCTTTATATTGAATAATTATTTTTCCAAAAAATTATTGAACGCTGATGACGTCAATGTAAAATACCTGACATTGAGAATTAGCCGGGGGATGTTGACCAATAAGAAACAAGAATAAAATTTGGATGTATAATAATATTGTTTAGTTTTATCCTGTCGTATTTTGTTATCCAGTGTTTTTAATATTGACAATATTCCTATTTACTAAACTTGAAAATTTAATCTTCGAACTAAACGCTTTAAACTTATTAATCAATAATAAATAATTAAAGTCTCCTTGTTTATCTTTTAAAAGGGAATTGTAATTTGTTAAATATTCGATAGTGGCGCATGCAAGTGCACCAACATATTATTACATTGTGTACATTACACATCATAGCAAGCGCAAAAGTGTTTTCGACTAAGAATAGCATTTGTTTACATTTTGGCTCTAAAAATATGAAAACATTCGCAGTGCGTGTTTTATCAGACTTAAAACACTGCTGCTCATGTTTTAAATAGTATTCAAAAACTGATCAATAATTCATGAACCAATTATCCAATCTTGAGTAAGAAATTAGTCATGTGCATACGTCTTTATACCAGTTAAAGAACACTTTAACAAAAGACCATTGTTATGCAAACTATATGAAGATTTTTTTATAAAGATTTTTATATAAAGATTTTTATATAAAGATTTGACTTATTATGCATACGTTTTTGAAGCCATTCAAAAAACTCGCAGGTCGCGTTTTATTAGGTCTAAAGCCACTCGCGCTGCGCGCTCGTGACTTTAAACCTAATAAAACACTCCTGCTCGTTTTTTAAATAGTACGTTAAAAACTGATTAATAATTCAGGAGCAAAACACAAAGAAAAATCATAGGCGTGTCGTGGTTTTATATGTGATAAAAAATCATGTTAATTTACATAAACTTTAGCTTTGATTTTCTCGGTTTAGACAAAGTTTATTTTAAAAATTACTTCGCTAATGTACTCATCAGAAGATGGGCGTTCTTTAAGCCATTTAAAGCACTCGTAGTCGTGTTTTATCACATATAAAACACTCCGCTACGTGTCGTGTTTTATATGTGATAAAACACTCCTACTCGTGCTTTAAATATAGTACTTAAAATATTGATGTACTAATTAAAAACCGAGCAGGAGTGTTTTATTAGGTTTAAAGCCACGAGCGCGCAGCGCGAGTGGCTTTAGACCTAATAAAACACGACCTACGCGTGCTTTAAATAGTACTTCAAAAACGTTTGCATAACAAGTCAAATCTTTATATAAAAATCTTTATATAAAAATCTTTATATAAAAAATCTTTATATAGTTTGCATAACAATGGTCTTTTGTTAAAGTGTTCTTTAGGTGGTATAAAGACGTATGCAGGTGACTAATTTCTTACTCAAGATTGGATAATTGCTTCATGAATTATTAATGAGTTTTTGAATAATAATTAGAAAATTCAAAAGAAAAGAATGTTTAATCAATGTTTGCAAATCGGATAAAGATTTGTCCTGATTTACATAAACTTCAGCTTTGAGTTTCTCGGCTTAGGTGCTGTTTACATGAATCCGGATTGACTTTCAATCCAGAATGAACTCATTCCATTTTAATACAAACCTATTGGATGAGCACATGATAGTTCAGTAATTTTATCTCATTTTAAGGCCAAGGTTGGAAAAGAATAGTAAAAAGCTAAAAATTGTTAGATGCAATCATTTAACTATCCTGAACAACATACTAAAAGTCCCCATGTATCCTCTTGGAGCTTTTTCCATTATGACAAGTTTTTTTTCGATTTCCCTATTACTCCCATATTGTCATAATGGAGAAAGCTCCAAGAGGATACATGAGGACTTTTAGTATGTTATCAAGGTTGCTGAAGAGAGTGCATAAGCCAATTTTTGGCTTTTTACTATTTTTTTCGGACCTATTTTCTATTTTGATTGTACTATGAGTCCGGAATGAGTTAGAACTCGATCTGGATCTAGTTTGATCCTAATTTTATTCCGAATCGAGATTTCAATCCAGATCGAAATTTGGCTTCGATCCCAGCCTCGTACCCAGGGGCAATTAACTAAAAATAGGCACACTACAGTACTTTTATATAGATCAGTGGCTAAGGTGAGCGAGCGCGCGGGGGTGCTTGGGGAGGACGCAACTGGAACAGGAGGCGCCTGGCAGAATTTGTTCGACACGTGACAACAAATTGTCGATTTCTGAAATTTAGTTTAGAAATGTAGTTTTTAAGCGTTTTTGTGCATTTTGTGCCCAATTTCCGTGACAATATGGACCAGACGGAGTAATGACAGCCACATGAAGGTAATCTTTTTCTTTAAACATACTTAATAGGCGCTTTTTAACCTTTATTTGAATTAATATACTGACTGAGTCTGTTAACTTTAATAATACGAGTCATTTTTAATATGATATACCTGTGTTATAATAGAATTGATATTAAAAACGAAAGGATTTTAGCTAAATATTTACATTATTTTATATGATGTAAAATAGCGATATATATTGTTATATAAATCTGTTCAGTGTTGAATGCTGTTATATTTGTCTCTTTGGTTCATGCAATAACAACAATGTCAAGGCTAATTTTATATAAATTGCAATAGCAGCAAATTGCCACAACAAAATATTTGCTGCATCACTTGCATGCGTTTTTAAAACACCTATTAAATCTTCTCTTGATAGCATCAGTAAGTTCTGATGATATATTTAATGCATCCTTTTTCCAACTTGATTTTGAAGAAGGTATTAGGGCCATTTATACGGAACAAAATAAGACGCGACTTACATAAGACGCGACTTAAGTAAGACGCGAGTTTGTGGTATAAAAGGTACAGAATTCTTATGTAAGACGCGTCTTGGATAAGACGCGTCTTACATAAGAACAGGTCTTTTAGCTGTTCTTATTTAAGTCGACGCGTCTTAAATAAAGAAATTTTGGACAAAAAGTCTAACTCACATGCCAGACACTTGAAACAACGTAAAATTTAATGCCTTGCATATTAAAACAAGAACAACCAAAACAACATTATAGCTATAGCAAATAAATAAGACCAAAGCCATAGAGAACCATTTATGCGATAACTCCACTTGTTTAAGTCGCGTCTTATGAATGTCGCGACTTATTTTGTCACGTATAAATGGCCCTATTGTCTACTTATGTAGTTTAAGTTCCTAAGTCAGCAGTCATTTGAATGCATCATGCATCACATTTTTGGTGATCTGAAGCATTATAATATAGTAAATTTATGAATTAATGAGTAATGGAAATGTTGTTAATTTATTATGTTGTTAGATAGTGATGTCCCCATTGCCACTGAAGCAGATTATGAGATGGAAAACTATGGCGAGATTGAAAAATCTAGCAGTTTATCAAGTGGTCTTGAACTGACAATTGCACCGCGAAACTCGGTGGTGCAATCAGCACACCACCATAGCCCTATAGTAGGGGGAAGTGTAACTTAATGGGCAAAGTTGTTAATTTGCAAAGTTTAATATGCCTAGCTTGTTTAGACGTTAAGATGTGGATGAGTGTATAAATAAAGGCCCACAAGAGTATTAAATTGCATAAATATTGCCATAGCTCTAGATCTTTTTGAATGTTAATACTAGTAGTTTATATTATGAGCAAAATAGATAAAATTCTAGGTTACATCTTCCAGGGGTTGTTTGCATAGTATGTTGATGAGGTATATCTCATTTAGTCAAGTTGTGTAAAACATTCTTGAGGATTTAGGAGTAAGCACAGAGACAACTGGGATGGGTCTTGTGTTTACACTACAAACCTACACCTGTCCAAGCTGTTTACTGGGACTTACCTTGAGTGACCTGAGAATGATTTCAGGTAAAGCATTTGTGTGTGTAAACATGTTTGGATTGTTTAATCTCAAGACCAATTTCCATGGCAACATGGCAAATCTTGTGTGTATATGTATGGTACATGTATGGGTGTATTTTTGTGTGTTTATACACCATACTTTGCCGGGCTGATTTTAGATTTTGCTAACTGTTGACAAATATTTTCAGTGAGACCATCAAATGTTTGCCACATATTTTTCAAATGCCATTGATTTTTAAATATCAATACCATCTGTACTGTAATCAGCACAACAATTTGCAATGTGCAACCATGCCTTTAAATTGTCCAATTTGTTAGACTATGTCTGTAACTGGTATCAAATGCACTGTATGCAACCAGAGGTATGTCCAGAGTATACCCCATTCCTTAGTGTAAGCATAGTAGATTTTGGCAATCAAGGGCAATTGCCTTCATAGTTCAAAACTCAAAAGTAAGGTGAATGACAAACATCAACAGGTGAACCATGCATGAGATGAGATTAGTTTGGTTTGGTTTGTGCTTTATATAATTTCAGCCAGTTACAACAATAGAGCTCTAAAATTTATGATTTTAACTTCACCATATTTTGCATACTAAAAAGCACTCATGCATGTTAATTTATATTCCTTCTATTGGCAAAATTTTAGAAACCTACAATCATTAAATATTTTCCAGTTAATTTTCTCCTCTGAGGTAAAATGT